GTCTTACCGGCTCCATTCACGCCTAGCAGGCCAAAGCATTCACCAGAGCGCACACCAAAGGTTATATTTCTCACTATAGGCATCCGTTTGGGCCGGAAAAACTTTGTCAGACCCTGGACACGAATGATGTCCTTTTCCTCGTTGAAGGGGTCCTGTGGAAGCATGCGGGGAGAGAAGACACGAAATACAGAGCTGTGTGTCAAAAAGAAATGAATTTATTTTTTAAAAATATTAAGTCTGCGTTTGGTGTTACTTTGTAACAGTTTTGTTTCTATTTTCAACTGATTACTGCCGGTTTCACACAAGATACTAGGAATTCAGGCGAGGAGACCGTAAAGGAGCAAGTCACCTTTTGGGGTCATGACCACAAACAAACACGGGCGTGTTCTGTAGGCGTAACTATCAAAGTGGTTGTTATTATATGCTTAACTACGTAGGTCAGAAACGCCGCCTGCTAAACATGAGGGGAAATATAGTTTAGTGTACGTACTTCAAAGCACCCATTCTACTATCAGGAATGCCCTTTACTCAACAACATATTTTCTCGCCACGAACTGCAATTAATCTTGCCGACGGCTAACACATAAATGGATCAGTTTCTTCCAACCGCATGGCCAAATAATACAGCCAGTTGATACGCAACAACCACGAATTACATAAGCGTCGGTGGCTGGCGTTATTTGGTGCGTCCACTGGCCCTGCAAATGCACCGTTCAAGTGGGTAAATTCCGAGACAGCTTTACACCGGTTGGTGCAAAGCCATCTATCTCTCTTTTAGTTGCTCAGAGCCTCGAGTATCAGAAGAATGACAGAGCTAACCCGAAAAGAAGTTGTCGATCAGCCTCTAACGATTGGTGCGAGTGAGTATCATGTCTATACAATTATTGTTCCATCGATCATATCTTTTTCTTCTAAGCGGGGAGCAGTCCGTGACTCGCTAGGATTATGAGCCAACCTCGTTCATGTCCGCTGCATCGTAACGCTGAAGGAAGAAGCTACCTAGTAGAAATAGTGATCTAGATGCCCCATACCAAACTCTCAAACTCAATTGTAGACGGATGCGGCCAATGTCGTTCGAATAACTTAAGCTGCTGAACGCGTATTGGCATAAAAGGCAGACAATTGCAGATCCTTTTATAAAGTACGGGCTTATGTCACCTACATTCTCTACATCACACAACTGGTTGAAGATGAACTGGGCAGCCAGTTTGAAAACTTTACACAGAAACAGTTTCTAACAGTCCTAAACTGCGAATACTGTTAATAAAATTTCATCGGATCCCCGATTTTGTAAGGAATAGGAGCACATTGATCAGTTGGTCTCCCCAAAACAATCAAGCTGCGTCGTATAGGCAGCAGAGGTGCAAAACAGGTAGCCATCAACTTGGCGGGACCCGAGTGAACCATGATTATATATGTGAAGAAGGCAGTGGATTGGGTTCCCGTTGTGCGGTTGCTGGCGAGGCTCGAGAGAGAGAGAGAAAGCAAATTCCGTAACCGATTGTAGAGCGCCGACCCATGATTTTTAACAGTATCGATGGAAACCAGCAAGACAACGAGCCCGTGGCACGTTGGATTGGAGCGTTTGACTTCTAGGCAACAGACCGCAATACCAGGGGTCGGCTAACTGGGCTGGCTGATGACGACTTGTAAGCCAGAAATAATCATTCCAGTCTCCCGTGTTTTTGTCAGCGATGTCTATCTGCCTATATCCCTGAATGTTTTAGGGCTGTTGCCGGGGCTCGAGAGTGAGTTTTAAGGCATAACGGGACGCGTGAGTTCCATTGCTGATTGGTGAGCACCAATCAGAAATATACATATATGTGATATAATTCTTGCTCGTCGATCTCTTAGGGGAACATACTCATGCCGTTGTGCCTTGAAGCTCAATCTAGAGTCCTTGCAGCCAGTCGCATTGCGACTTGTATCATAGGATGTAGTGGAACCGACATACAGTAGTCGCCAAAGACCATGCAACTTTCATGATGAAATTTGACTTGTTGCTTTAGCGTATATTTAGTAACACTATATTGATTCGTTCAGTTTATTTAATCCTGCGAAAGCCTTTTACCTGCCGTCATTTAAGTTAGGTTTATTAAGAGAAATGGCCATTAATTTTGGGGAAATTGGGAGTAG